ATGTCTTTCCAGGTGGCGCAGGTAACATGGTCGCCAAACCATTGGTGCCCGAGCTCATGAGCCACAATATCTGTGCCGTAAAGGCCCATTGTCGACATGGTCTGGTGCTCCATGCCACCGCTCAGCGGCACGGTGCAATGACCGTATTTTTCTTTCCAGAATGGATAACGGCCAAAAATGTCCGAGAAGTAGTTGATCATTAAACCCGTGCTGTCCAGGATCGGTTTGCGCTGCGCGAGTGAATTGCCATAAATATAATTTTGCACCAGCATCGAGTCGGTGCTGTTATTGAAATGCAGGTAATAAGAATATTCCAGGTAGGGCGCTACTGCTGCCGACAGCAGGTAGTAATCGATCGGGTACCTGTTCTTCCACTCATATCTTTTTTTAGCGCCCGTAGTAGTGATGCGTTCCAGTAAGCCATTACTGCCCGCTTTAAGGGAGCTGTCTACCGTGATCCAGATATCTGTCGAATCTATTTTGTCCTGTAAGTCCTGCTTGCAGGGCCACCAGTCTTTGGCGCTATAAGGCTGGCTGAGGGTATAGGTCACCGTTCTGTTCATGGCTGTAGAAAGTACCGTATTGATGCCCCTGCCGAAGAAACCAGTGCCAGAAGGAATGACGCCGCTATAATAAACAGTCGCCTCAAAAGCAGTATTAGCGGGCAGTGTTGTGGCCAGCGTTACCCTGCGGACATCACCTGTGGAGATGGTTGGGCGCAGGGTGCCATTGATCTTTACGGAATCCACAACCAGTTCGTTAGTCAGCTCAAAAACATAAGCATTGGTTGGCACGGTGGTCACTGCACGTGTGGTGGCAAAGCCGGAAACGGAACTATTGGCGTTGGTCAGTGCAATATCCAGCTTTACATACTTCACATCATAGTGCGTTTCGGCAGTGTCCGCAATGGTGCCTTTCAGTGCTGTTGTAGCGGTATAAGCCTGTGCCTTGGTGCTGGCGCAAAAGTGCTGTTGCTGTGCGTTTGCTGTCGGTGAAAAGCAAAAGATGCCGGTAATAAGCAGCAAGGTGCTGCCAGTTAATTTATTGGTCATGAATAAAAGAAGAAGGTGACTGAACAGGACATGCCCATTTGCAGGCAGGCCGCTATTCGCTGTT